GCAGTGAGATACGAATCGCTAAGAGTATCCGGTGATGATTTCAGTGTGAGTCGAACTGTGTATCGACCTGTTGAATCCCGTGAAACAGTACTCTTGAAATGTTCTTCACATCTTTGCTCGTCAGGAGTAAGATCAAGCCTGTCGCTCGCAGGCTCTTCTTCTTGTATCCAGATTTCGCCAGCAAGTCGTCAAGAATATCCTCTCCCTCCCGAACGGAGGCATGATGCACGGTGGCAATTGCCGATGATGATGTATTAACAGGTCCGAGAACGAGCTATCCGAAGAAAGCTGCGCAATTGGCATCAATGTATCTCGTTTGATGATGTTGGGCTTGATGATCTGTCCACATGAGTCAGCTCCAATGATGATATCCACTGGCCGTGGTGTTAGGAGATCTAGATCAGCCAAGGTTAACTGGGTGAGATGCGGTCATTTCTGTGGTGCCGCGTTGAATGATGGCAGGATGTTCGCTGACGCCTGCAGAACGTGAGCTTGAATAATGACGTCTGATCTTGAGTGAAGTGAGCGGAGCTTAAGCATTCAACTCCTTGAGTTTGCGTTGCCTTCTTCGCCACCCATTCCCGTGATGAGAATGACGGAATGATGACGAGTGATGTTGAGCTGGCGAACGAGAAATTCTGAAACAAAGGTAAGTTCTGAACCTGAATCAATGAGAGGCCATACGCATTGAGTATGAACAAATGAGCTGATCTGAGCCAGGGCCGTAGCGAGTAGTGTTGAGTGTAATGAGTGGGCCAAAGATGAGTGAGCGACGATTGCACCATCTTCCTATTGAGCTGACGCAGCTGAGCTGGTGATCGGCTTCGCTGATGAGTTCGACTGATGAGCCTCATGCAGCATCGTGTTGGTTGGTGCACTTCTTGCACCCCCGTGAGCCTTTACATGAGTGGCCGTTATGGCGGCTGAGGCATTTGAACCAAAGCTTCCGTGATATGACTAATTTTTGTCAATCGCCGATTGAAAGATCCCTAAATTACGTGCACATCACAATGAAGTGAGTGCCGTTGCAACAGTTGCACGGGTAAGTTAGAAATGCTGCCGTGTGGGCCGGTTGAGCTGCCACATGCTGAGCTGTCAACGTGCGCTTTGCTGTTGAATGAGCGCCGACGGCTGTGAAGCTTCAAGATATGCATGCTCCTTGAGAACCGCCTTGTTCGCCTCTTCGAGATGTATTGAGATGTAGAAAATCTTCTCTAATGACGTGTCCTTTGCACAAGACGGTGGCGTCTCGCCAGTAATCCGCACCGTCGCCAGTCGGTTCATTTAGGATGAGCTCCGTGGACAAGCGCACGGGTGAGGCTTGGCGTTCCGATGTGCGAGCCGGTGGTACCTCGAGCAGCGGCGTCGTGATCTCCGTACCGCCCGTACCCGCCTTTGCGGGTTCCGTCATGTTGAGCCGTCCCTGAGCTGCGCACGATGAAATACCTGAGAAATGTCGAGACACGTGTAAGAAATGCTGCACGATTCGAGAACGTTCGAGAGACGCGTGAGAAAAACACTATGCGAATCGAGAGTCTACAATGTCATGTATTGAACACGTGAAAATGTCTATTTACACTCGCAGGAGCGCGTGAGCATGTTTTCGTAACACTCGCGAGCGCGCGTGAGAATGTCTGTTTTTCACTCGCGGAAGCGCGCGATAATGTCCACGTGGCATGTCGTGAAGGGCATGCTCTGTTCACATGATCTGTGTCCGAGTTACACTTTAAGTTCCACGCATCCGGCTCGAAGGACCAAATGTTCGCGAAATCGCTGATTAATCCCGGCGATGGAAGCGGGATGAGAAGGACGCGCGTGGAAGGTGTTAACTAAATATTCACTTTATTTTTGTGTAACTCAGACCACAATCTGAGCCGTCTTTAATGCGTCTTTAATGCGTCGAAATTGATACAATATGACCTGAGAATCGATGAGCGGTGTATAAAATGAGATGTGTATATAGTCCGTGTAAATGAGAGGCAATTATATTAAGTGCCGTCCTCTTCGATGAATCGCCCGTGAGCCGGTGAGACACGTGGCGGTCGGCACTCGCGCACATGTGAGCCTGAGTCGTCGTGTTGATGTACCCGAATAAAGCTGGATGAGCGGTCGCTTTACATGTTAATGCAGTATCTCGGCAGCTGTAATCACTGCGGTGAGCACTTCGATGTGTCACAATCAAAAATGCACAGAGCACACGTCGTACGTCTGATCACTGCGCGGCCATTTTTACGACTCTGAATATCGCGAGGAAGACGTTGGCGATGAGCGCGCCCGTGCGTACGCAAGCTGCTGCGGTGATCGGGAGTCGATACCCGATCGATGCTGCCATCTGATCGGACGGCGCAACGTTAACGGAATCTCGAACAAGGCATAAGGCCCCGATTTCCGGTGCAGGGCTCGACTTCAACCATTTTGGTCGCGATGCAAGGCTTTGGATGTACTCGCGAGCTCATCGCTGCCAAAAGTGGTCTCGCATGAGCTGCACGTGTCGCCACCGATTGAACCGAGTGACAGCCGTGTCGTCGAGGGCCGGTTCCGGGATGGCGTTGAGCGGGCTCCCGATGAGAAAGTGGCCCGACGTCAGTGTCGTGAAGTCGTCAGGATCGTCGGACATTGCTTGCAGCGGGCGAGAGTTGAGGCAAGCTTCCACCTGTGCGAGGAAGGTGGACATTTCCTCGAATGTTAGTGTTGCCTCGCCAATCACTCGCCGAATGTGGTGTTTTGCCGACTTCACGGCGGCTTCCCATAGCCCTCCAAAGTGAGGGGCGGAGGGAGGATTAAAGTGCCAGCGTGTCCCCTGTCCTAAAGTGGTGTGCGCGATTCGACGTTCGTCGGAGGTGGAGGCCCGGAAGAGCTCCTGGAGTGGTCGGTCGGCTCCCACGAAATTGGTGCCGCAATCGCTGTATACGTCGCTGCACGTGCCGCGGCGTGAGGTGAATCGGCGAAATGCGGCAAGGAAAGCGTCGGCAGAATAATCCGACGCGACTTCTAAGTGCACGGCGCGAGTGCTCATGCAAACAAAGACGGCGATGAACGCCTTATGCGCCTTGTGTCCTTGGCCCTTTGTGGTGCGAAGCAGAATTGGACCAGCATAATCCAGCCCAGTGCGGAGAAACGGTCGCGACGGCGTGACTCGGGCCCCGGGTAGATTGCCCATTGGCGGCTGTGGAGTGACCGCCCGCCACCGAGCACATGTGACACATCGATGCAGCAGTTGTTTCACCACGGCTCGTCCTTGAGGTATCCAGTACTGCTGACGGACGGTGCCCAGAGTGAGTTGCACCCCACCGTGCAGTGTTCGTCGATGACAGGAATCCACAATGAGTCGAGTGAGCCACGACGTCGGCGGGATGATTGTCGGGTGGCGGCCGTCGAAGGGGAGGATGGAGTGTTTCAGGCGGCCTCCGACTCGGAGAATCCCGTGAACGTCGAGGAAGGGATTCAGCCGGGCGAGCCGACTGCGATGATGAACAGGCTGAGTGGCCTTGAGTGTGGTGATCTCAGTGCCGTAGTGGCAGTGCTGCACGGTGCGGAGCCAAATGTGAATTGCGCGAGTGATTTCCTCGGGAGTGAGTGACGTTTTCTGAGGACGGCGCCAGCGAAAACACCACGCTGTCACTCGAAGGAGCCGCTTGCAGCCCAGAGAAGCGACGCAGCAACTCGGGCTCGTTCACTTCCACAATGGCGGTGCTGCAGGACGCTCGCTGCTCCCCAGTGTCCTCGTCGAAGTCCTCGTTGGGCTCGCTCGGCCAGGAGGACTTAAGCAGTTTGAGCCACCCAGGGCCGCTCCACCACAGCGGATGGTCAAGGAGTTCGCGAGGAGAGATGCCGCGCGAAGCACAATCGGCGGGATTCTCACTGCCCGGCACGTGGTGCCATCGGGCTTCCGGGAGGCGCCGCTGTATGTGTGATACGCGGTTCGCAACGTACGTCTTCCACCGCGATGAATGACCACGAATCCAGTGGAGGGTCACCGTGGAGTCCGACCACAAGTGAGTCTCCGAAGCAGGCAGTTTCAATGTGTCTTGAACGTGGTGCGCGGTGTCAGTGAGGAGGGCGGCGGCCGAGAGTTCAAGGCGCGGCAATGACACCTGTTTTAACGGGGCGACCCTCGTTTTGGCCGCGAGCAAGTGCACCTGAGTGTCGTCGGACGCGGTTGTCACGCGGAGATAGACGACAGCCGAGAAGCCGCGCTCCGACGCGTCGGCGAATCCGTGGAGTTCGAACCGAGTGTCGCACGTCCCTACCCCTATCCAGCGGGGAATCCGGACTGCCTCGAGGATGGGAAGCTCGGCGATGAGCTCCTGCCACACGCGCGCGTCGGCTGGTGGGAGTGGCGTGTCCCATTCGAGTCTCTGCATCCACGCGGATTGCATGAGAATTTTTGCGCGCACAACGACTGGGGCGAGCCATCCGAGCGGGTCAAACAATCGGGCGGTTTCAGCTAATGCGGTTCGTTTCATGAATATAGGGACGACGCGTGACTTGATCTGAAACGCGAAACTGTCTGTGCCCGTGAACCAGCGCAAGCCGAGAGTGGAGTGGCTCTCGAGGTCCCATTCGTGTGACGTTTGGTGTAGCCGGTGCGCGAGAGGAATCCCGTCGAGCACGTCCTCGTTGTTGGCGGCCCACTTACGGAGCGGGAATCCGCCCGCCATGCACAACGCGCGAAGTTGAGTCTGAAGAGCGATCGCGTTGCGGAGGGTTGACGCTCCCGTGACGACATCGTCCACGTAACAGTCTTCTTCAAGGGTCGCTGCGCCCTCCGGATATCGGACTTGCTCGTCCTTGGCTAATTGCTTGACGGATCTTATGGCAAGGAACGGCGAACTCGCCATGCCGTACGTTACAGTGTTCGTGCGGTAGTCGAGCACTTCACTCGTCGGGGTCGGGCGCCACACGATGCGCTGATAATCGCGGTCATCGGGATGCACCAATACTTGGCGGTACATCTTTTCAATGTCAGCTATCATCGCGAACAAGTGACGACGCCATCGGAGCAGGACGTCGGCCAGCGACGGCACCAGATTCGCGCCCACGTGCAGAAAGGAGTTAAGAGTCTCGCCCGTCGATACGCGTTGCGACCCGTTAAACACGACGCGGAGTTTGGTGGTGGTGCTCGCCTCCTTGAGGACACCGTGATGAGGTAAGTAAACAACTTGCTCACCTTGTTGAGGAGCGGCTGCCACCGTCATGTGCTCAAGGTCCTCGTACTCTTTCAGGAAGGCCTGGTACAGCTCGCCAAATCTGGGATCCTTGGCACTCTTCCGTTCCATGGAGCGGAGGAGGTGCAGCGCTGCGTGACAAGTCTCGTGGAGATCAGCTGGAGGGGTTGACCACGGGAGGCGCACCATGTACCGTCCCGACGGCAGCCGGAGGTGCGTTCGCACGAAGTGTTCCTCGCACTCTTGCTCGGCAGGAGTCAGGGCGGCGACCGGCTTAGTCTCCGCCTCCTGTTCCCAGAACCTTTGCACCAGGCTAGTGAGATCGTGGTCGATCGCGGCGTGGCAGGACGAAGCTCCGTGCAGCGACGCTGCGGTCGCGCCGCCGGAGATGATCCAGCCGAAAGCGGTGCGCTGGGCAATGGGCGCCTCAGGATCGCTTTTTCGAAGGCCCTCCTCAAGGATGACTGAGCAGACCTCGGCGCCGAGCAGCAGCTCGACTGGATCAGTGGCCGAGAACTGAGGATCAACCAATTGAAGGTTGAGGAGGTGCGGCCAGGCGTCGATCTGTCGCAGGCCTGTGCCGTGGTAGAGCGACAGCTGCGGCAAAACGACGGCGACCGCGGTGACTGTTGCTCCAGTCACCTTTGATGTGAGCTGCAGGGTGACCTTCCCTCGAGCCTGGCCGGAACGAGTCCCCCCGATGCCGAAGATGGTGAAGGTCGACTTGGAGCGCTGCAGCTTGAGTCGTTGCGCCAGCGCCTCGGAGATCAGCGAGACCTCTGAGCCCTGATCAATCAGAGCTCTCACCGGTTGCTGATTTCCATGGCGGTCAGTGATGGAGAGGCGTGCGGTGGCCAGCAGAATGGCCTTGCGATCGTCGCCATGCTGCACTGCCGTGAGGGTGCTGGCCTCGGCGACCGCTGGTTTGGAGGTGCCATCGTGCAGCAGCGAATGGTGCTTCGCGTTGCAGATGATGCACGTCTTGGTCGACGGACACTTGGCAATAGGGTGGTTGCCTAAGCAGTTAGAGCATAGGTTCTTGCTCTCAACTATGCTCTTTCTCTCGCTCGGAGTCTTCGCTCGAAATTCACTACAGCCCATCAGGTAGTGTGAGTTCTTGCACACCACGCAGCTGCCCGATCCCGAGGTGGTCTTGGCATGGTTAGACTTCGCGGATCGCGTGCCGCTAGCCTTGGCTTGGCTGGTCTTGGACTCACCCTTGGATGTGACCGGCGAGAGAGCCTCGAGCGAGCGCATCTTCTCGATGACGAAGGTTCGGAAGGTGTCGTACTCGGGAGGCTTCGACGATGTCCGGATGGTGGTCTCCCAGTCGCGACGAGTTTGCGGATCAAGGAGCTCGACCGCGATGTGGACGAAAAGATCCATGCCGTGAGTGGCGATCGGTCGACCGAGGCTCTCCTGAGCGTTCATGGTGTTCGTCATGCCGTGGAAGATTCGTCGCAGCTCGATCGCGGACTCGCTCTTCATCTTTGCGAGAGCCGTGAAAGCGGCGAAGTTGGAGCGAACCAAGACTCGCTGATTTTCGTAAAACTCCCGGAGCGTAACCCAGGCTCGCTCAAAATTGCCGTGGATTAGAGGTATGTCTCTCACTAATTTTGCCGCTTCATCTTGCAGGGACGTTTGAAGGTAATGCAGCTTCTCAACGTCCGTGATCGTGTGATGGCGATTGATGACGGAGAGGAACAGGTCGCGGAAGGAGAGCCAGTCCTCAATGGCACCCGAAAACTGAGGCAGGTTGATGCGCGGCAGGAGGTTGTGCGGAGTGGCCTCTCTGGCTGAGGCGGTTGCTGCATTGCCACTTCCCTCCGTTTGCGTCAGGCAGGTTGCCCAGTCAGTCAGGGTGCCCCATTGCATAACGTAAGCATTCTCTGTGGTTTCATACAGATCCGTTGTGAAGTACTCGGTTTCGCTGAGTTCAGCGAAGAATCGCGTGCAGAGAATCTCATGTTGGGCTTGAAATTTCTCCCAGTTGGAGTCCAGCGTTTTAATGCGAGCTTCAAGGATGCCTCGAGTAACGTTGGATTTGCCCAACTTTCTCGTATTTTCCGTTGCTCGGGATATACGGGTGAGTAACTCTTGCTGTCTCATGAGGAGAGCATTCATGTCAAGACTCATTTCGCCGATTACTTCGCAGGTTTACTGGAGCTGACCGGAGCAATCACAGACCGTACACGGACGCGGAACCCGAATCCGGCTCGAAGGACCAAAAAAATGTTTGAGCGCGCGCGATGGTTGGTCAGGAACGGGAGGATCGGTTTTGTATCTCGACAGAGTTCTGATTTTAATAACGATAAGTTTATTTTCACAAAGAGTCTACAATAAAGTTCTCGAATAATCACAGTTCCCGTTTCAGATTCGCGACAACTTGCTTTACGAGAGACGACGGTGTCTATTGCGAGCGAGAGCGAACAAGTCCTCTCCCATTACCGCGCTACATTTATTTATAAGTTCGGAAACGGTGTGACGTCTCATCCATCAGACCAATGGACTCGCTTCCCTTGAAAGAATTAGCGGTCACCGCGTAGCGTAGCGTTGCATAGGGCCGGAGTTCGTTACGTCACGTCTCCACGCCGATTTCCGTGACGGGGTTGGTGGATGAGGCGTCACGTGATGGAAGCGCACGTGCTCGGAGCACTCCGCTATACGGAGGCTGTCCTGATTGCCGTTGGTTGTTGTCGATTTCACCGCGTGACTTTTCGACTTTACCTCCGACTCACCAACGACAAACAGGAGGAATAACAAATAATACGGTGTTTTTCCTTTCATCGAATTCTCTCGAACATGTCTCGAGAAGAAAACCATCGACGTCTCTTTGCGTTATTGCCCGATTCTAATTCTACTTTCGGACAACCTGCTTTCAAAAAGATCGGAAATGAAAAATTATATATTTTATAGCACTCCCCGAAAAATTCTACCCCTACTTTATGTACAATTCTTTGAGATTCGATCATTTGGAACCGGTTTCCAAAAAGATCGGTAACAAAAAATAATACACTTTATAGCACTCCCCGGAATTATACTCCTTCTTCATGTATAATTTTTTGAGATTCAATCAATTATTTCCCGAAAAATTGGAAAAATTAAAAAAACCGGTTTCCAAAAAGATTGGTAACAAAAACTATACACATTATAGCGCTCCCTGTAAAATTCTACCCCTACTTTACATACAATTCTTTAAAATTCGGTCAATAAATTCCCGAAAAATTGAAAAAATTTCTGTACCGGCTTCCAAAAAAATCGGTAGCGAAAAATTATACATTTTATAGCACTCCCCGGAAAATTCTACCCCTGTTTGATCTATAATTCTTTGAGATTCGGTCAATTATTTCCCAAAAAATTAAAAAAATTAAAAAAACCGGTTTTCCGAAAATCGGTATTAAAAAATTTTTATAGCACTCCCCGGAAAATTCTACCTTTATTTCATATACTTTTGGTAAAAATTCGGTTCAGGGGTTTGGGCTGGGCGTTGATGAGTCAATCAGTCAGTCAGTCGGGACATCTTCCTTTATATATATATATAGATATACATATACATATATATAGGTTTTATTATGAGATTTATTTCGTGTGCCAATTATCTCAGAAAGTATTGATCATAGGAAGGGATTCTATATATATAGGAAGGGGTTTTTGAAGTCAGCCTTTGGATAAGGAAAATTAAGATGCCTTCTAACTCTTCTTTAGGCAATGCGATACAGGTGCTCTAGTTCAATATAACTCTTTTACTATTTTTTTCCAAACTTTTATTCTTTCCTTTTAAACAGATTATTAATCTTTCCGGATCTTTACCAAACATTTGCTGGAAAATAAGAATTTCTCATTCAACTTCAGAAATATTAGTAACATCTTCAGTGATTTATTCTGTGTATCAGAATACATTATGTCTGTTAAGTTAGCACCCCTCCCCTCCTACAAAAAACCGGAATAACACATATGTAGGAATTAAGTGCTCTTTATGTGCTAATTATGTGCTCTATTCACGATTTTTGTGCTTGAACGGTTTCGCGGGAAATTGTAATTGAAAGTGGGGATGCTGGCTTAACGTAAGCTAGCACCCCTACTCATTAAAATTACATTATAAGATAAAATACTCAATATAGTAGAATTATGTGCTTTTTATGTGTTTTCAAATGTACGTCTCAAACAAAATTAGTCTATCTGTAATAGTTAAAAGATATACGCAAAAAAGATCTATATACTACTGATATAAGAGTAAAGTATCAGTTAAAGTACAGAAAGCGAAATAATTTTTGTCTTAAAATGTTTCTAGATTAATGTGTTCTCGAAATATGCACAATGAAATTTTTGTGCTTATCTTCTTTGATTGACCCAAACGTGAACATCCCATACGTACATACAAGAGAAGTACCAGTTAAAATACAGATAGCGAATTGGTTTTAGTCTTAAAATGTTCTTCAATTTTTCAAAATATACACAATGAGCTTTCCGTGCTCATCCCCTTTGGCCGACCCAAACGTAAGAACCCCATACGTACAAGAATAAAGTACCAGTTAAAATACTGATAGCAAACTGATTTTAGTTTTAAAATGTTCCTTAATTTATGTGCTTTCAAAATATACATAATAAGATTTTTGTGCTCATCTCTTTCAGCTGACAAACCTTTCTGAAAATGAGCACTACTATACTTACAAGAGTAAAGTTCTTACTAATATAACGATTTGTTTCCAGCCTATTGATTATAAGTTGAAAATGTTTTATGAGCTTGTAGAATATGTACAATAAAATTTTACTGCTGACTCTTCTTTTATGAAAAAAATTATGAAAAAACCTAAATAACATTAATTTTTTTACGAAAATGTTAAAATATTATTTTATAATTTTATTTTGTAATTTTTTATTTTATAATTTTTTCTAATTTGGTTATTCTTATACATACAATATATGTAAGATTAAGGGGTAAAGTCACTCTAAAATTTTCAAAAAATTGATTTTTTTGTTTAAACGATGCTTTAAGGTCTTAGAAATAAGGTACACTTGGTTTCAAAGCTCGGAAAAATCTCTATTATTCCTTTTTCGTAATCCGTCTGCCGGCGGATTACTTATCAATTTGTGAAAGATAGCAATATATCCCAATATATAAGAAACTGTATTTACTGTATGAATACTAGTAGCATAAGTAATATTGGTAATAATATAATTGGAACACCTAGCAATTTTCCAAGCCATGAAGATTTTCTTTTGGTATGTGTATTTTGTTCTGTAGAAGGTATATAATCGCAAAATCTAATTTATGCTACAACATTTGGTAATATTCAGTACTTTTTTTATTCTTTAATACTAGGAGACGTATTATTTTGATATTTCAATATCTCCATGGCAGAAACAAGTGCCATATGTACCGAAGTATCAAAAAGATTATGATTTGCATTATATTGGTATGCAACATTTGAATTGATAAATAAGATATTGTCTGTCGGAAAATGTTTGTGTTCAGAAAGGGTTATAATTAAATTTTTTATTTTGAAGATCTCAAATTTCATGAAGCTGTATATCCAATCAGAGTCTCTATATATGAAGTATATAATTTTGGGAACGTAACTCAAGTTTGGGCTCAAGATTCTGAAAATGAGGGTTCGTGGATATTATTATGGGATGGACTGCCTCAATTCCACGAAATTTGTCGACTAATCAAACGTAGACATTCGGAATCACGGATATTTTCTCCGCCCTTACGGTCTTGCAACTTTAAAACCAAAATGCTCTGCTTACAATTTATATCCAACTCTTGCCCACAGCTAGATGCTGTGATGCTGATCGGTACATCAAAATTGATTTTTCCTAAAAATCCTGAAGATAAGAGTATAACTAATCTCTTACACCGCATTCGGGCACAACGACATTCTTGTTCAGAGAGATTTTGTTCTTCTCGTTGTTCTGAAGAATTCTCAAAAATTCAACGAGAACAAAATAATTTTCGAGACACTGAACCTTGGCATTCCTCTGGATTGTTTGACCCTAGTAATACAACACGTGATTATGAAAATGCATACTTGGATATACTTGATCTTGAAAAAGAATTTCCTAAATATTGCATTATTTATAAAAGGTATTATATATTTGTCGACATTAAGTAATCTTATTTTATTTTCTTAACACTGCACGGACACTATGGGACTTTTAAGGCACAGTCGATTTTTTATTTATGATTCCTACGGACATGGCTTCCGCAGCGCTTACGTTGGCTCTCCTCCCTAAAAGATCTTGGTAATAGTGGGCATGTAAGCCAAGCGGCATTAAGATTCGACAGTTCGTTGCGCCATATCGAGCAATCGAAGTGTAGTAGACTCAGGGTGTCCACTATGGATGCTAAACGGCAGACGAAATAGCATGTTACGCTCGGCGTGTCGGCTACACAAATGAAGGAGCTTGTGCGTTGCTGTGCCTTTCACAGCCATTCACATGCTGTAGCATGCTACTCCGTCAGCCGTCTAGCATCACTGGCTCTATCTCGTTAATTTTGTCCACGGATAAATAATTTTGCATTTTATGTGTTTTTTTTTAATATTGATTTTACTTATAAATAATAAATAAGAAGTAACTTATTTAAAAAAAATAGCATTGTTTTTGTCTTCAAATCTCGTTTTTTCTGTATACCGAAATTACCAATTTTCAAGTGCTTTAATAATTCAACTTTTTTTAGGTTCTCTTCGTGTATTTTCCTTTCAAGTACCATTATTGAACTATAAAATCCTTGAACAACTATTTTCTTAGCCACACATTCAAAAAATTATTTATAAAAAATCACATATTTTACAGTTTTCTCTCCTGACATTTCGACCTTTGACACTTAAGAAATTGCAACAGTTCCGGCCTATGTAGAAATCACTTTTTGAAATCTTAAAGATGATACAATGAATTTTTATAGATTTTTTGTAACATAGAATCGCTTTTAAAAACACGTTGTCCGCGCAGTGTTAATAATGAAAATTTTGTGTTCCAATGTTATTTGCAGCGACATAGCAACGAGTTTTCACAAGAGCAAGTCCGCGCTCAAGCAAGTATCTCGGGAGGAAGATATGCCATCTTCTAAACAGGGATATCACCCTTTATTAAGAAATCATTGAAATTATGTAAAATTTATAGAAGATATCAAA